AAAATTTAACAACAATAAAAAAATGTAGGTGAACAGCTTTTGGGTGGGTTGTACTTAGAATACACTGATTCTTCCTGTTAAGCTAGAAAATGTTTTGGCAGGAATATTAACAAATGTAATTTTAGTAGAATTATATTAGCAGATGGATAAAGTCGGCATAAAGATAATGGCTAAGGTTACCACAGTAGGATAGAACATTAGTTGCCTTGGTGACACAATAGTTAAGCACTTAGCTGCTAACTAACACCAGGGCTACACACTAATAGAGGAAAGTGACCTTTGAGGTTGGATAGGGGAGATTATATTATACATGCGTGCAGTATGTATACTGATATATACATCAGTGCAGGATGTACCCTTGTGGCTCTCTTGCTGTCATTCATGGGCTTAGGTTTAAGAAGAAAAATCTATGAAAGCTTAAGTTTGAGAAACTAAGACAAGGATATATGAATAGTTTCCAGTCTTGTGTCATAGGGAAGAATATGAATAAGGATGACAGAATTGATGTCTTTGAACTGTAATGTTGGAGAAGAGCACTGAACATCCCATGAACAACTTAAAGAACAACAAATATGTCTTGGAGAAGGTGCAGCTGGAATGCTCTTTGGTGGAAAGAATGATGAGGCTTTGCTTCATATACTTTGGGCATGTTGCTAGGAGGGGCTGCTCCTTGGAGAAGGACATGGTGCTGGGAAGGGTGAAAGGTCAGTGAAGAAGAGGAAGACCCTTAGCCAGGTAGATTGACATGGTGACTGCCACAATGAGCTCTTCTGTGTCAGGAAGTGTGAGGATGGTGCAGGATAGAACAGGGTTCAGATCTTTTGTTCTGAAAAAAATATCCTATGCTGATAAGGTTGCTATGAGTCATGCTCGACTCAATGACACTCAACCATCACCACAACAACAGCATTCCAGCTTTTAAAACATGTATGTGAGCAGCCAGGCTTCAAGCCTCTCTGTAGCAAACCCCAGTTCTCTTTGCACTTGAGTTTATCAGATAATGTCAAATTGCAATCCCCTAGACAGACACTCCATGTTCTTCACTCTCAACTCCTTCCCCTGGGGAGCATCCAATTCCTTCCCCACTTTTCAGAGCAGCTGAGAGAGCCCCACTCTCTGGGAATAAGAGGACATTTGAGTTGCTAATTGAGCTAAAGTGATTTTTAAAAAATCTCCTGAGAGATTACCAGTGTCCCCATTAACTCAGTACTCATACAAAGTGACCTCCCCACCTTCCCAGTTATTGATTCAGATTGAGCAGGCTGCAGGCACAAAGTATGGGCAGGGGCCAAAAGAGAGATATTTTCCAGGGCTTCTTTCTGATAGGCATCACCTTGCTGTAACATGCTCCCCGTATCTGATGTGGAACCTGCAGAGCAAGGAGGATTGGGTGAGAGCATGTCTGGAAAGTCTCTTAGATCCTTGAAATGTATGTAAATGGACTTTGTGGTTAAGTGTTTATTAGAACACTGGGTCGTTAGTGTTGCACAATTACTGCAAAGGATTTTTAAAATTCCATGTCTTTCTTTATTTGAGGAAACTGAAGCCCAGGGAGGTAAAAGTGACCTATAAAATAGGTAGTTAGCTTGTTGTCACAGGTTAATGAATTGTACATTGATACTTAGAAAGGTAGATGGGAAATATGTAAAAATGAATGAATAAAACCCCAATTTTCTGTAAACTTTCATTAAAATCACAATTAAAAAACTCCAGATATCATTTTAAAAAGAGGAAAAGAAAGGTAGAGGGATGACAAAAGAAAGACCCTCAATCAAATGGACTGACAGTGGCTGCAGCTGTGGGCTTGAGTGTGGCAGAGATTGTGGGGCTGGCACAGGATAGGACAGGGTTCACATCTGTGGTTCGTAGGGTCCTTGTGGACTTGTACTTGATTTGATGGCACCTAACAACAACAACATGTTGATGCCAGTTGGTTCCTCAAGACTGTCTTTAAACGGAAATAAAATTCTCTCTGTGCTTGCTCTATGAGTAAGTAGGGTAACAGCCTAAAAGGCCTCCAAGGAGCCAGATGATGGCATGACTGAGTGAGTGGGAACTTCGGAGTGGCAAGGACTGTGGCAAATTGGCAGACACATGCCTGTTCTGTTTAAAGTAGGCTGATCAGTCACCATATGGGAAGGCTGCTCAGCATTGCTAGATTCACTCATTCTCCAAGACAAGTGAGAAGTGGGTCAAATTCACATGGAACAAATGAAATATATTGGATCGACCGAGGTTGGCCTGAGGGCTGGCATTGCTTCTGCCACGTACGCACCGTTTACCTTTGTCTGTGGCTGAGCCTAATGGAATTCATCCAGTGAATGACTAATAGCAGTGGAGTGGAAATGTTTTCCCAAGATGATGTTGTTCTGGTTGATCATTTCAACATCCGCCCATTACTTTACCTCAATAGAAATAGTCTATGAGTCGTATAGTCATCTCTTTTCTTGCCCTCAGGGGAAATTTTTAATGAAAGTGAAATGATCAGAAGGCCATTAGTGGGGAAGGGAAAGAAGCAGAAGGTCTGGAAGAACCACAAGCTAATGACCTGCTTTTAGTTATAAGAAATTCCCAGGCTGTGTGTGTAGGCCTATGTGTGCTGTTCATATCTTCAAATACTTCTGGGACTTAGAGTGAAGACTTATGCCAGGATCCAGCCTTGAGAAAGGGAAGAAAAGACATCCTCAATTTCTAAATAAATGGCAATATCTCCTCCACCTTCTTGCTAAATCTCTGCCTAGAGAATTCTTATTGATAACTGGGAATACTCAAGAATTTAAATGTAAAAGTTAACTAAAATTGGAAAGCCTATTATCACAACTATTTCTCTGTTTCTACTTTTACCATCCAACCAATCAGTCTATTATCAGAACTGGTTCTTTTAAAACATTGGTCACTCAGTCCATTCCTTCCTTTTGACTCACCAGCCCTCTGTAGCTAACTGCTTCCCAAAGGCTGAAAGCTTTTGAAAGACTACCTACAATTTGTCCTCTGCTGAGCCCTCTCATAACTTCTCCCACCTAACCTCATAATAGGGAGTTCTGGTTGCTTAGTGGCAAGGAGGTGCATTGCCGTCCCAAGGGCACCTGGTTCAAATCTACTAGCCGCTCCCTGGGAGAAAGATGGGCAGTCTCTTCTTGTGTGATTTACAACCCCTGAAAACCTGCTAGTGGGTCTGCTATGAGTCAGTTCTAACTCAGCAGCACATAACAACAGACAGCTTTGCCCAGATTATACAGCACACAACAACAAATTTAGCCTAGAATATAGCCAAATCCTTTATACACATATATGGTTTATCTTACTTATTTTTAAAATTTTGTTTCTGTCTTTGTGTTCAGTTATAGTGCAGCAGGGGAAGAGATGAGGAGTTATACACACATATATTTTATCTTTATAGCCATTTTTTGGTTTTTTAGTTATTTAAATTTTATTAGTTTTAATGAACATTTACAGAGATTTCGGGTTTTCATTCATTCATTGTTGCACTGTTTTCTCTACCTTCATCCCCAGTTCGTTCTTCTTTCCCCCACCCCGAATGTCTGTTTTAATTGTCCAATTGCCACAGTGCTTGTCAAAGCCAGTTCTGATTAATCTCCTTTGTCAGTGTGTCCTTTGCCTTTCCCTATCACTCCTCCCTGAGAGAGACTTCACCCTGATTCATAAGGAAAAGGGGATGGCCCATTTTTGTTTTTTTAAAAAAGACTTAATTCTCCTTAACAACAAAAACCACCTCCTACTACTCACGTCTTGTGCCCTCCCCATACTGGCCCCCTTCATTTCCCACAAGCACTCTAGTACAGCTCCTCCTAAAGCCTTTGCACTCGTTATTCTCTGTCCAGAGGATATTCTCTGTCCAGAGGACCGCAGCACCCCACTGTGCCTTCGTAGCTACTCATAGCTTCTGAAGAGGCCTTCCATCCTGAAATTCACAATCCTCTAGCCTCAATTTTTATAGCACTTGCTATCAGCTATATAACACCTTATAATTTGGTTATTTATCTCCCCTCAGAAGAATATATAATTGTAGGGGGATTTTGTCTGTTTCATTCATTCTTGGAGCTTGAAATAGCACCTTAAAACATGCTAGATGCTAGCCAAGTATTTGCTACATGTATTTGAAGACCACTTCCCTCTTTGTGCTTGATTTTTGTACTCACCGTGACACAGGTTGCTGGACAGAGGTGCTCTTTTTACTGACAATGTGAATGAACTGCTTGTTTTTCTAGTTTTCTGTTTAAACTCTACTTTTCATACATTTCTTAAATTTCATGCTTTGTTCCATTGCCATCAATGCTTTAGCAGAGTGACCATTGCTCCTTGTTTGGGATTTAGACGTTAAGCATCCACTTTTACCCTATCCATACTTTCTTTCCACTGCCAGAATAATTGATCCAAAACAGAAGTCTAACCATTTATCATTAATTTATTCATTTAAAACCCCCTATGACTTCCCATTGATCTTTGTATAATTTTGATGCCTTTAACTTACCCCACAAGACTCTTCAAGATCTGGCTGTAACATTGACCATCTCTAGTCCTCTAACAATAAACCTAATTCCTTGCTGATTTAAGGTCTTTGCTAGTCAAGGTAGACCACAATCCTGCTTCCATTGTTCATCTGACTAGCTTTCTTCCCATCTTGATTTTAGTGTCCTTTTCTGAGACTTTCTCTGAGTCTTTGATTTAGTTACGTTCTTCTGTATCTTCCCTCACATTCCCTACAGAACTAAATACTTGTGAAATTGCTTGTTTGCTGTCTGTTTCTCTAGTCTTTATGCTTGTTGAGGATAGGGACTGTAACTGAGGTGTTTGCCTTTGTATCTTCAGTTCTTAACACCATCTCTGATTCATAATAGGAGTTTGGTAAATGATGTGTCGTGGAATAAATACATGAAAGCAGATCATACGTGTCTAGTTAGAAGGGATGCCTTAAAAGATACTGCCACCACAGAGCTGGAGTGGCATCTCACTAATAATATGTTTCTTTCCACAGAGATTATTTTGCAGAAGATGATGTGGAGATGGTGCCCAGAACAAGTCACACAGCAGGTAAGGAGGTCATGGACTTGGCCTTGTTAAATTCTTATAGTTTCCTGCTGATTATAATATCCTTGAATACTAAATAGATTCTTCATATTCATCATGGTGATACTTTTAAGCTTTTGTGAATTTCCAAATTTGCATATACTCCTATAGTATATAGTTTTATACTTTCTAACTTGTGTTATAAATTGTAACTGAAACATGTAGATGAACTTTTTACTCCTTTAAGGGTGTTATAATTGTAAGACAAAAATTGCCTATCATGTGATTAAAATAAATTCTGCCACTAAAATTATATCTCTACCTTAATGTTTGTTGTTATGTGCTGTCAGGTCGCTTGTGACCCACAGTGACCCTATGTACAGCAGCTCTGAATCCTTCCCCATCCTGAGGCAATCTCACTAATTCTGACACACCAACCACCATTGCCCCAGTTACTGTATCAATTCATCCCATCCAGAGTTTCCCTCTCCTGCGCTGTCCCTGCACCCTTCCAAGCGTGATGTCCTCCTCCAAGGACCAATCTCTCCTGGCCACGTTTCCAAAGTATGTGAGACGGAGCCTCAAAATCCTAGCCTCCAAGGAGAAACTTGGTCTACCTTAAAATATTACAGTAAAACCCGTGTAAAGTGGAAACCCATTAGAAAAGGAAATTAAAATATTTTCCATTAACCTTAGTAATAGAAATGTGGCAAAACTACAACTTGTCAAGGGCTCTGGTGGTGTAATCAATCCATAAGGAATTATGCCACCAACCCAAATGGTGTCAGTTCTCTGGTGGTTCCAGTCCATTGGCAGCTTCAAGGAAGAAAGATAGACAATCTTTCCATTTACAGCCTCTGGAAATCTGCTGGAGGGTCAACTGTGAGTCAGTTTCAACTCCGCAGCAGTGAAGCAGTGACTTTTGACACCCTGTCAAAGGTGGAAAACTCACAACTCCTGGAAAAACAAGCCAGCCTTGTCAAATAATACACCATTAAAATGTGTAAGAATGTGGTAGTGTCACCCGCGGAGGGAAAATTATGTGAGAAAAGCGCTTAGCGCAGAGCCTATCAAGGAATAAGCACTAAGTAAATTTTAATTAAGGAGCACTGGTATTACAGTGGACTTAGCACTGGGCGGTTAGCTGAATATTTGCAATAAAGGTTGGTGGTTCAAATCTATCAAGCATTCTATAGGTGAAAGATGAGGCAGTGTGCTTTGTATAAATATTTACATCTTTAAAAGCCATACAGAGCAGTTCTTTTTTTCCCTCATAGTATTATGAATTGGAATCAACTGGACAGCAGTAGATTTGGTTTTAAATTGCAGTTATTGTTAATGTATTAATAATAATATGAGATGATGTTGTTGTTGTGTGCTGTCAAGTTGGAACAAACCTATCACTGACCAGAGGTAGTTAATCACACAGAAGGAGATAGCCTCTCCTTCTCCCAAGGAACAGCTTGTGGATTTGAACCACATGCCTTCAGGATTGCAGCACAGTTTCTTACCACTAGGCCAGCTGAGCTCCCTAATAAAATAATCATTAGTAATATTTCCCAAAACTCATTGATTATAAAACCAACATAAAGTTGGCTCTCTTTTGAAGACTATTTTCTTGTATAGTGAAAATATACATCAAAAACATATCCCATCTCATCCATTTTTACATGTACAATACAGTGACAGAAATTTTTAATTACTTAAGATTTTAATCCTTGCTAAGTGATTTTTCTTTGTAGAAAAGTTTTAAACTTGGAGATCTTAGGATTTCAGAGACACTTGTAGTTAGTATTTGCAACTGTGTTTGTTAAATCCATACATTTTATAAGTTTCCCCTTGTCAGAGGAGTTCTTGGGTGGTTGTTATTTCCTTAGGAGCATTCAGAGCATCAATAAAGCAAGTGCAACTTATGTTATTATTTTAATCACAGAGTCAAATACACAACAGAACAATTATTTTTTACAAGCAGCTTCACAGACAACTAGAAGATGGAAAAAATACCATATCCTTATATAACTAATTCATATAGTGCACCAATAAAACCTGTTTAACATTTCCCCACCAATTTACAACCTGTGTGTCATAACAGGCAAACTGAGTGGCTACTGAACATATCATTAAGATGGGGCTATCTCACTTCACCAAAGAAGACATTCAGATGGTCAACAAGCACATGGAGAAATGTTCAAAATCTCTAGCTCTAAGAGAGATGCAAATCAAAACAACT